GAGAGAGAGAGAGAGAGAGAGAGAGAGAGAGAGAGAGAGAGAGAGAGAGAGAGAGAGAGAGAGCAGGTTTATCCTGTGCGGACAAGAAATTGTTGAGGTCATGTTGAGCAGTAATCGCGACAACCATCGTGGATTGGGATCCCAATCTCCATTCCCCCCTCCACATCGTCCTTCCCTTCCTCCTCCCCCCTCCTCCTCCGTTGCGGTCATCGTCGTCATCGTCTGCATCATCATCATACTTGTCATGAACAGAAATAGCCCATTAATTAATGCCCGTCAAATAGCCGCTAATGCCGATCAAATAGCTGCTAATTAATGCCCATCAAATAGCCACTAATTAATATCAAATAACCGCTCAAATAGCCACTAATTAACATCAAATAGCTGCTCAAATAGCTGCTCAAATACCCGCTCAAATAGCCACTTAAATAGCCGCTCAAATAGCGGCTAATTAATGGCCGTCAAATTGTCGCTGATTAACATGGAATAGCTGCTAATTAATGCCCATCGAAAAGCCTCTCGTTAATGTCCATCGAATAGCCGCTAATTAATGCCCGTCGACGCTGATTAGTGCCCATCAAATAGCAGCTAATTATTGCCCATCAAATAGCCGCTAATCAATGCCCATTAGATAGCTCATAATCATGTAGAGTTGAGGGTAACTGTTGTTAGTAAACAGAACATGAGTTCAAATCGTAATGCTAGATGTAAGCCCCTCAAAAAGAGAGGGAAAAAAATGAAACCACGGCGGATGCGACATGTTTTAAAACCGTAAGGCAAAAGAAACTAGAGAAGGCAAAGAAACCACGCCCGAGCTCGAAATCAGCAATTTCGGTCCAAAAGTGTCCAACGCCACGGCCGACCCCTGTAAATATGACACCCGTTCTGACACCACGGCCGTCGGTACTTCCGTTGCCTTTTCGAACTCGGCGCGGTTTTCATTGCCGACCCGTGTTTTTTGTGCTCATTCTATACTCAAAGTTGACATGAACGTACATCGCTCGTCAGCCACGTACAGAGAACATCCCTTCTCATAAGCATTTAAAAAAAAAAAAAAAAAAAGGGCATACTCACACTAACACTTCCCTTCCTGTATCTGATATTTGACAGGAACTACGGCCAGACTTGGATGAATCTGACTGCAATCACGTCCAGAGCTTAGTACAAAGAGTCATAGTGTGAATATGCCCAGACAACAATTACGGCCAGACCTGGATGAATCTGACTGCAATCACGTCCAGAGCTTAGTACAAAAAGTCCTAGTGTGACTATGCCCTAAGGTTGGACAGATATGGACTCTCAACCTTGCCCTGTTTATTATAGTGTGAGCGCGAGTTAAAAAGAAGAAAAAGTTGCCGTGAGGGGAAAAGGACGGGGCAAAAAAAAAAAAGGAGAGTTCCGCCTGCATACCATTTCTTTTGCTCAGTTACCACGCAGGTGCAGGAACACTTTTTTTTCCTTCTTTTTTTTTTCAGGAGCACATTTCTTTTGCCTATTTGATTATGCTGATGATTACCTTATGATAATCATCTGCCAGAGCAGATTGTCCTGATCTGGACTAGTACATGCAGCGTCAGGGGGCTGGCAGTATGTGAATTTCATGATCTCGCCACCACGGTCACATAGCGACCTGCCCCTAATTAGAAAACCTTGCCTACTACTTGCTGTCATGAGGGAGGCCGAGATGTTCATGATAGATGAGTCACCCATCAATGGAGGTTAGTTGATCACGTGGTATGCGGGCGCAAAATTGAAATGATGATGAAGACATGGCCCTGGAATCCGAACTGTGACAGGGAGAGTTAACATTCCAGCCTACTTCCAACACGTAGACAGAGTTGTCCTTGGACATCGCATGTGTGCAGATATAAAGAGGGGGAAGATACTCCTATTGTACTAGTCTTCACCCGAATAGAACATGCGGTCATTGTCGCTGTATCTAGACTGAATGTTGCCCCAAATATAGGTAGGATGGCCATACGTTCCATTCGGGGGTGAAGACGGTAGCCTTTATCGTCGTCATCCGTCTTTCCTCGCCTCGAGAATCTTCGTTGAAACTCTTCTCTTCTTGCCTTCATTTCTCTATCGCTCGGAATCCTATCTAGCACTATCTTCGAATGTTGCCCTAAGTACAACTAGAATGGTCGTTCGTTCTACTCGGGGGGGAAACATGGTAACCTTTAAGAGAGAGAGAGAGAGAGAGAGAGAGCTGTCTCTTATACACATCTAGATGTGTATAAGAGACAGGAGGTGGACAGCGGACAGTAAGTGGAGCGATGTA